CCCCAAAACCCCAAAACCCCAAAACCCCAAAACCCCTAAAGCTAGTGTAAAGTTGATTATTATCATTTAAAGGTGGCAATCATATATACCTTTTCCATTCTTGCCCAATTGGATGACCTGGACTCTATCCTGACTCTGTATTAGACCTATTAATGAGAAATGCTTCTGGCACTAATGAGTCAACTCCTTGCGCAAGGCTAACAAAATTGAACTGGAGAAATTGAGTAAACAGGCTGAAGAGAGGGGAAATCAGATGAGACAAAACCTAAATTATTCTATGCTGGTAAGTTCTACTTTGGATACAGTCTAAAACCAAATTTAGAAACCCCAAATGAAGATGAGCCACTTATCCATAATGAAGAAGCTAAGTAAGTATTTTCCAGATTTAGAGAAGAGTTTTTATTGTAATATATAATTGACTTACAAACTTCATCTAAGCTAAAGCTCTCTATTCTTGTATGGCTTCACAGAGATTAAAAATATTATACTGAAGAAAATTGCCCAGTGCTTTGAAGAAATTCATATATTTATTATAGAGTTGCTCCACTAGGAGATGGAATGAGCAGAAACAGGTCAAAAAAAATAGCTCAATACCAACCTGGACCAGCACCAGGTTGTATGAATGGATCGAATAGATTCTACAACACCTTCATGCTTTTCTACAACATTCTATGTTTAATAAAGCTCAAGTCAAGAAGAATGGCTCAGCAATACAAACAATACAAAAGGGATGCAGATGAGTTCAATAATAGTAGAGATTTAGGTTAAAAAATTGAGTAATTCGTAGTCACCATTGCCTCTAAAATCAACACTCTCCAGTTTAAAATCAACTCCGTGGAAGAACTTATCTCTAACCACGAAGGGATGGAAATCAGAGAGATGATAAATGCTCAAAATGGGATGCAAAATGAGTCTGAGGATGAAATCCAAAGAGAGAAAAATCCCATTCACCAATCAAATATCCAAAAATTTAATCAACTATGAAAGAAAAGAGTATTGTTGATCAAGAAATAAACCTAACAATCAAGTTGCGAAACAGGAACATTTAACAATAATAAAAACCAATTATTCAAAATAAGCCAGAGGATAATACCCCAAGAAATTCTCCACAAGTAAGAATTTTTAATTCTATATTTAGCATCCCCAAGTTTTCCCAAATCAAGCTCAGCAATCCAGTATCATTCAGGAGAGGGAAGAAAGAGATAAAACATTCCAATATCTTATATTAGAGTTTATAAAATTCATCAGATTTATTTCCTTGGGTCCTCCTATGTAGCCGCTTGTTAAGCATATTCCTACTATGGTTTTTAGAAGAGTCTAGCCTAGTCCTGTGAAGCTTTATATCAGGAATCCTTCTATCTGACTTCTTTCTAGCGTTGATCATCTTGGTCAGCTCCAAGTCGAACATAATTCTGTTTTTCTTTCATATACCTTGAGTTTCAGACATCATAGATTTGTTTAAATCAGAGATTTGATTGATAATACTCTCATAGTACCCAGATTTTAAATTTCTTTTCGAACGCTTGTCTTCGGCGCTTATTCTATTCTGGGGCGATAAATTTTGGATGATAGAGACCTTATCCCGATTGCTGCCTCTCCGAGCTTTCTTAGGGTAAAGCCAATTAGATAGGGAGTTGTTCAAGTTGAAATTCTTCAATTTTATTTGAGTCCTCTTAAATGTTCCAAATCTTGGCGGACAGGCTTTTTGCTTGGATATGTCTCATCAATCGGGGCTATTAAGGTCTAAATCTTGCAGAGGTTGATCGACTATGGTATTAAGGGGTTCTTACTAGACCTAGAGATGATCTCATTTGTAAATCAGGGCATTCTGGTTTCTTTATTGTTGAACTGGATTAACTTTATTGTCTGTAATCAACCTTTTGCTACCTCTCATGTTGGATTGCTTTTTGGCTTTAAGATATTCAGACTGTTCTGTTTTGGAAGTCTGTCTTCAATGATCCTTTTTATCTTAGCTCTGATAGTCGATTCCGGCTCGGAATTTTGCCTAAAAATTAGTTATAACCCTGATTCAGAGGGAAACAAAAGGTTTTAACGAATAAACTCCTTGTGTTATGATTAAAAGAGGGAGAATGACACATTTCGTATGACCCCAAAGCCTTTAAAATTTAGTAAAGCAATAATGCTAGAATTTTAGATCATCTAAGAGACCTATAAATTTCCTCTGTATCTACTAGTATAAGGCTCGCCTATTCATCAAATTGTTCAGCCAAAGAGGAATGTTTGCAACTATCTTGGTGAATAATTCCCCGTTTGCTTGGGAAACAGAAATCACTCAAAAATACACTTTGCTGCCAAATTGTATATTTTGGGGAAGCCATAGATGATGGATGTTCTACTTTAGGAATCTTGTCAAAGTTCCAAATTTCTAAGAGGCTTACTGAATAACTTATTGTTGGGGCATTCAAATTTTGGTATTTTTGGAATGAATTTTTGAGTTGATTTTGATCGCTCTGTTATCTCTATTTTGACCCTGATTTCCATACTAACTTCTAGTGTTTATTTCAATTATATTTTGGAATTTTGGGGTTTTGGGGTTTTGGGGTTTTGGGGTTTTGGGG